AACTTTCCCCCCACCCGGTCCCGGGGCTAACTCACTGCAGTCGCCTCATCGCCGCCGCCTCCGCCTCCTGCTGGGCCGCCGCCAGCCTGACCGCCTCAGCCGCCTGGCGACGCTTGTAACCCGCCACCGCCCGCTCCTCACGGGCACGAAGCAGGGAGGTTGCAGCGGCTGCGGCGCTGTTTTCGGAAACCTGTCCGGGCAGGGCAGGGCAGGGCAGGGGAGCGGTATGGCAGTGACAGCTCTGCCACTACGGGAGAGGAGTACGTGTGAGAGGCATAATGGCCGGCGGGCGAACGGACGGGCGCGCGACCACAGGGCTGCTGCAGGGGTATCCGCGGCGCCTACTTTCCCCCCTCCCGCCCTCTTCTACCCCCTCCTCACCACTCTAATCCCTCCAGATCTCACTGCCTTCAGTTTAATCCCGCAACCCCCCCCAAGGAACTCGCTCTTGTTGTCACCAAGCACATAAGCCACCATCCAGCCGCCACCCCTACCAACTCCTTTTGCGCACCCTTTTCTTTTCTTCGGCGTCAGCTTCACTCGTGCGTGGTTCGCGGTTCTTCCCCCTTCCCCCCACAAAACCCCTCCCGCACCCCCTTCCCAGAGAGACCACCTGCACCGCCGCCACCTCCTCCTGCGCCTCCGCCAGGAAGTCCAGCTCCCGCTCCGCCGCCCGCAGCGCCGCCTCCGCCGCAATCAGCTCCAGCTGTCGGGAGGTCTGGACCCCGCGCTGGGCCTCCAGGGAGGCGGACCGCTGAGCCAGCCAGGCCTGGACCTGGCGCTGGCGCTCCGGTGCGGGAGGCAGCCGGCGAGAGAGCTCCTCAGCTTCATGCTGGAGAGAGCTGCGAGGAAAAAGGGGGGGCGGGGGAAAGGCAGGAGAGGTGCGGGGGAAATTACATGCGTGGGGAGAAAGTGAGGGAGGCGAACTGAACTGAACTGAACTGCTGGACGGCGGTGGTGGTGTCCAATAGGTCCTAAGAAACTGCCCCCAGTGAGTGCGCGGGTCCTGAGCGGCGGTGTGTGTGATGTTACATCGAACCCCCCCCTCGGGGTTCCCGGGGTTGGGGATGGGGGTAATGAGCTCATGGGGGAACGAGTGGAAATTTTGAACATGACGTGCAGCAGCAGCAGCAGGCATGGGGTTGGGGATGGGGGGGGAGTTACGATGGGGCGTGGGTGGTGTTAGGTCCTAGGGTTCGGGGAGTGGGTAAAGGGGGGGAAAGAGAATCGCAGGCAGCCGAGGACTCTTATGACGCATGGCATAGAGAATGAGGGAAAGGGGGAGGTGCGGGGGAAGGGAGGTGTGAAGGACGGCGGGTGACTGAGGCTGATCGCGACACTGGCTTTAGTCGCTCCGACCCGACCCAGACGTACCCGATCTCGGCCTCCATGCTGCGGACCAGGTCCGTCGCCTTGTTGGCCTCCAGAAGCACCTCCTCGTACCGTTTCTGGTTGGCATTAACTGCCTGGACAACTGACTGCAACTGCCGCTTCAACTGCTCCGGGTCCGCGCCCAGCGTGGGCCCCAGCGCTAGCTGCGGTGGCTCTTCCCAGGCAGCTAGAGGAGCGGCAGGCGGGCTGCCATAGCCGCCGCCGCTGCCGTTGCTATTGATGTTGTTGTTGTTGGTGGTGGTGGTGATGCCATTGGCGGAGCTTGGTCGCCGGTTGATGGTACGAGGGGGTGAAGCGGCAGCGGCTTTCGCTCGGTGGAGCGAGATTGCCATCGCGCCTGAACCCATGAGCTCATGATAACTGGGGAGCGGATTTTCCCGATGCTGGTCGGCGAGCTCCTAAGGGCAGGAGTTGTGTTGAGGCAGAGCGCGGGGAGTTTGACGGATGTTTGGGGAGTAAGGGTGCGGTCTGGGTCGGGCGTGGGGTGGAGTGGAATGGTGGAGGATGGGCGCGGAAAGTTAGGCGCGGCGCAAAGCTCGTGTTTGAGGGATTGTTCGGGCAGGTAGGTCTTGAGGATCCCGCATAGTATGGTTGTGGACGAGCGTGGTTGTGAGGAGGCAGTGTTGCATGGGGCCAGAGCTCGTGTGCCATGCAGGGCTTGACTGGAGCGGGTAGCGCGTTACAGCTGGCCCAATTCGAGTAACGCAAGTTATATACTAATAAGCTGTACGGCAGGCCTTGCGGATGAAGATTCCACACTGGAATGGCACTGCACATTTCGCACCTGTTGAAGAACTGGCGGTGGCCGGTCCTCATCATCGTCAAGCTCCTTCCAAAGCTCCTCCAAATATAATTCTTCAGCTTTCAGTGCCATTCCGTGTCGTCAAACAAAAACAGACAGTGTCCCACCCGGTGCCATGGCTCAAAAGCACCTCGCAATTATTTTAACGCTTGAAAGTATCATTAACTGTTTGCAGCACAAGCCCGTAGGACTCTTCAGGATGCCTTAGATTACCGTACGCGTAGGTACGGCTTCGTTGCTCTGTCTAGGTGCTTTATTACTGATCAGCGTGCAATTTGAAGAGATGCCGTGGGTTGGCAGTGCTAGGTATTTAGGGCTTCATTATGGGCTGGATGCCTCGTTCGAATCCTGCACTGATGAGTTATTTAGTGCGGGGCAGCGAGTCACACATGCGCTGATAGCCAAGTTGCGTAGGAAGGAAATGTTTTTGCCTAGGATAGCTCTCAAGTGTTTTGAAGTGCAAATTAGATCCATTCTGTCGTATGGAGTCCAGGTGTAGGACCGCAGTTTATTCTCCAGGTCGTTGAACGAGCATCCGACGCGCATGGGCGGTCGTGCTACTCGAAAGATCTTTAGATAATCCAATGGTCGAGCTGCAAAGCATGTTTCTGAAGTGGGTTAGGGAGGATACCGCATACCGGATAGTCCGTGTAGTACCGTGTATTGTTTAGGAGCTTGGTCAGTGGCCCCTCCACTTTCCCTGGGCGTCACTTAATTACTGTTTTTGGAACAGGGTTATCCTTGCGGTGGGAGCTGTATTTCTCACAATGTTTTGCGTGAGGAGATACGTCTTGCAGTTCTCAGTGCGTTTTGATTTTACTGCCACCAACTGGGGTGCCATGATCCTAAGATCTAAGATGCTTAGGGCACTTCCCGCCGCTGAACCTGGACCCGGATGAAGAGGGAAAGGTCAAAATTTCAATTTTGTCGAAGCTTCCGCACTTAACAGCGCAGTATTTCCTCTTGAGTCTGCCTGCACAGATAACACCAGATGCTTATTGACTTGTCATGCTCATCATGCTCATTCTTTTCACCTAAGGACTACTGTTACAGCGCGTCATATGCGGGGTAACGTTCACCTTCACCCTTGACCGCGTGAATCCGTCGAAACGGCGCAATATTTGTGAGTTCAAGGTTATCGTGCCGACCTGCGTCGCTAGTTTTATGCGATCTGGCGCGTCCTGACATGATGTTGTTGTTGTTGTTACATGGTCGTGGGTGCGTTCCCCGTACCTGCAAACCACCCTAGTACGAGCCGAGGGCTCAAGGGCTGCCAAATCGCCTATAAGCACCATCCTACCTCGCACTTCCAACGAAACAAGTAATGAAGTATACTAACGACCAAAGGGAACGATAGAGTTGCGGTGAGACCATATACGTTCCAGCATTCTTGCCAGGCGTCCAGGTTCCCACTTCATAGCGTCCTTCATATGTTCGAAGCGTGGAAAGCCCATATCAGATCTGATTCCGTCGTAAACCGGACAGTCCAGCAAAATGTGTTTCTCATCCTCGATGTGGCTATCAGTGCCGCAGCAGGGGCATACTCGCTCCTCCCTAGGTATATAACGCCGTCCCTTACGCGCTCTGTTAGCCGCCAGTGCCCAACAGCAAAGCCTAAACTGCATAAGCTTGCAATTCGCCGAACGTGGGATAAACATGATGTAGTGCGTTCTGTGTTACTGTCTCCCTTAACTGGTTCTGGTGGCTGTGGATTGGCTGGCCCGATGGTGCTGAATGGCGTGGTTTGGACGATTTTGGCGAGAATTGCACCTCTGCCTAGGGCCTTACACAGCAGGAAGAGCAAACAGCCAAGCCTAACAGTGGCCGCGCGGCCCAACCGGCCAGTAGGCCGCCCGTAGCGACGGGGGCCGCGCGGCCGACCGCGGCGCGACACACCAGGCCGCCGACGGCCCGGCACGCACCGCGAAAGGGCGCCAGCGCCCAACACCAAAACCCAACCTCGGCACGACAGCACTGCTGACCCTAAGTAACAGAGGCACTACAGCACCCGCGCGCCCCAAAGACCTTCGCACCGGACAAAGCCGACCGACCAGAAACGACCAGGCAGCCACCCCATGCCGACCCCGCGGGGCGCCCCCCCTCACCCCGGGTGCGGGCGCCTCAGCCCCGCCCCCTGAACCAACCCCCTCCCGCGCGCGTGCTGTCTCCCCCTGCCGCCATGCTGGGGGGGGGCGCCTCTCGGGAGCCCGCCGACGCCAGGCCGAGCCGATCAGTGCTTAAAAAGCATCTGGGGCAAGACTGGGGATAGCGGAAAGAAGGCAAGGAGCTGACAGGGACAGGGCGGGCGGGGGGCAAGTACAGCCTGTCACGCTGACTAGTTGGACAAGGCTGTATGCTCTTCTGTGTGAAGGCAGAACGACTTCACCAGGAGAGCAGCAAGGTTTAAGTCGCCACTGCGACCCAGTTGTACGACAGTACCACAGAACCAGCCTTAGAGGCTCCGGTCGCTTCGCTCCGTCGCATCCAAGCCAACAACTGGTTAACAAGGTTTACCTTGGACGATGATGCCGCGGCCATGTTAAGAGCACTTAGCTCATGAGCGCCGATCAGCTGGCATTTGTTCCATTTAATTCACACGACTGTAACGGACGAGGAGAAAACGAGGCGTGTTATATTCTTTAAATTTCAAGTTCAAAGATACACTATTACACTATCGCTGAACCCAACAAGATAAGCCATCATCAAGCACCACGTGCACAATTCAGAATCCATCCAGGTTCTGCTCCTCCGATTTAAAAGAATGAAATAAACCTGCAGCTCGCTTAAGCCAGCTAGTACATCACCGTCCATACTGGCGCCAGAACTTCCTCGAAAGCTCCAAAAAGAGATACCACACCGGCAGAGCCTTTTGCACAAGCATATATGCATGCACGCATTCGAACCCTCGCGCCTCCGATGGTCAATCGTGGAAAACCTGAGCTGGAACTTGTCTTGCCAACTTGCCAAAATTTCTAAAAGCTTCTAAGGAGAGAGCACTACCGTCCTATTCCAGATTGCTTTCAACATCGCGCATTACGAACCCAAATGCAACCAAATACTCGCAAACGCTACCCGCCTCTTCATCACCTCCTCTTAACTCGCCGCAGTGTCAAAAAAAAAGTAAATTCGATGCTGTGTGTGCGCTGGCCAACAAGAGAAATTTAATTGCAATGAAAAGGTTTACCAAAGTTGCGGACAGCCTTGCAACTCCGCGCTCGCAGTGCTACCCGTTGTTAGCTACCGCCTGTCTGCTTTAGGCACCACACCTCTAGACAAACATCCACTTTACACAAAATATCTACCTTCAACTTTTTCACCTCTCACATACACGTCAACTACATACGTTGCCAAAACAGAAGCAAAAAAATTCCAAGACCGCGCTGAAAGACGGCCAAGGAGGCAGGCAAAATAAGCGAAGCCAAGCGAACGAGAATTAAGCATCCAACATACTGCCCAATACACAATAGTAACGCGTCTTTCCTAACGCAATGCTTCAACTGCTAACAAGAGGTCCAAGACATTAAGGAACATGCCGCGCTACAAGCGACCTGAATAAAAACACACCATCCTAACACCCAAAACAAAACCAATGGTGCGACCTGCACGCACGCTGTCAACATGCCAAAGCCACACGCAGGCAATCAGGACGCCTTCCTGCCTTGCGCTTGCAGCATCGTGTTGCCAAAAACGCAACTATAGCGATGGCAGTTGGGTTGGCGGCGCTGCGTTAAACCTATTCAACCATAAAGTCCCGCTAACCGTCGGGTAAAACAACAACAAAACGCACAGCATTTCTTGCGCCTTGATCCAACCATCATCATCACCATCGATCATAATCACCTGTATTCAATTTCCCTCTTCCATCGTTTCATTATATACCCCAAAACAACACGTGGTGTCGCTCAAGCTATACCTTTGAGAAACCGAAGAAAAACAAGCTGTGATATCCAACTGTCTGTCTGAACACACCTTGAACGTGCGCGCGCGCGCCCCGCCTTTCGCTGCGACTCCAGCTCCTGCCACGCCAATAGCACATGGCATTCCCAGAGTCGACCGACCACGGAGACCAAAAAGATCATAACACAGGACTTTCAAACCAACCAGTATAACTGTCCCAGATGCGGCACCCTTTCAGGACGAGCGCCAGGCAAACAGAATGTCCCACGTTTTTCGAAAAACCCGATCCAACAGCAGCCGCCGTTTTGTTGCCGCTCCAAAACGTATACACAAAAACAGTTGTGGTCACACAACAAATCGTGGTCACAACAAATCGGTTACCCTGGAAGAAGGAGGAAGCGCACAGCACCACACGTGCATGCACGCATGTGCTGCACACGAGCGAGACACACATAACGACCTTGACAAAAAAGCTTGGAATCAAATCCTTAGACACAACGAACAAGGAACACACACACACATGGTATGCAGAGCATCCGGCTCATAGACCCACGGGCGGAGACCAGGCACACCCGCTGGGACGCATACCACAAGACACACATACACACACACGCACGTGCACACGGCGTACTTCTACCAACAGAACCACATACAACATCTTGTCATAGATACAGAAAGAAAAGAAAGTTCGCCGTCAGTCAGGGCATCTCGGCCATTTACTCCATTTCGCCATTGTGCAACCGCGCGTGCGCACATCCATCACACAGTCGGCGTTGCTGCGGCCGCCCCAAAACACACATACATACATATACACAAAACACGCACGTTACGTACACGCCTGTACACACGCGCGCCCAGCTTCTTCACACGACACACATCCACCAACACGCACGCACGCCCCTTCACCACCCTTTCCACACAACCCTAGCCCAAGGGCGCAAGGGAGCAAAAATCCGCTTGGAACGATGAACAGCAATACACACATGCTGTAGTCCATATCTGCATGCCTATACATGCTGCAAGGCCTAATTCATGCATTCCACGCCGTGACTGCCTATCACAGAGAAGCCCCAAGGACAGGACCTCCACCACAAAAAACAGCGTGAAGCCGTGGGGAAGGCTTTTTTTTCTTCTTTTAACCTAGGACACAAGAGAGAGAGAGAGAGAGAAAGAGAGGACCGCTATAGACAGCCCGCAATTTTTTCTTTCAGGGCGCGTGCAAAAAGAGAGAAAACAACAACTGCAACAGTCGCGCTCCACCGCGCAGTGGGAAAAAGTAAAAGCGGAAGTAAAAGCTTTTCCCCCCTGGTGCCGAGACGCGGCCCGTACATTCCTTCGTACCCGTTTGGTGGTGTACGACCAAAGCATGGATATGGGATATGATGGATTGGATATGGGCGTTCAAGCGCACGTGGCGTGGCAACGGATCAGACAGGTAAGGAGGCCTCGTGTTGAGTAGACTTCCAACCACAACACAATAACCCCTCACAATCGGCACCGCTGCGAACACCAGTTCAACAACCGCCGGAATGCAAGACCAGCCGGCATTGACAGGAAGAACCAAGCTGCTGCTGCTGCTGCTGCAGCGGGGGGAAAGGGTGGATGTGGCAATACGATTTCTTGGCCGCTTAGCCCCACACACAGGGGACGGTGCCACTCTCCAGAATCCAGCGCACTGGCCCCCAAAAACACTCCTCCGCCCGCTGCTGCCACCGTGCGAGGGTCCCCGCCACTAACCAATCTCCTCTCTTACGCCATGTGTCTCTTCTTTTTCCTTCACGAAAAATCACTTCACCCTACATTCCAGCACTGCCATCACCATCGCGCCACTCTTCTTGGCTGCCGTGTCGACATCTACAGGCGACCAGCTGCACACTCCACCACCTCATCTCCCACGACATTTCCAGACGATAGAGAGGAAGAATGATAATTCCTTTTTGAATGTCTTCATGGCTCTTCTCTGGCCCCAAAAAGGTATGGTGAGCTTCTTTCACCACGGGAGGCTAACCTGCCTCAAACGCATGTCATGTCATACCATACCAATTTATTTTTGTGACACGACGCCCCATACACATGGACACGAGGAACCCAGGCGATGTTTGAAACACGCGCGCACGCACGCACGCATGCATACATACATACACGCAGCAGGAACTGGGACAACATGCAAGGCCACTTTGCCGCTCTCGCTCTCTCTACTGCACGGTTGCGAACTCACCTCACCTCACCTCTGCCACTCTTTTCCCCACACACACATCCCTCTCTCTCTCGCCTCCCATCCCAGCCCTCCACCCACCCGCAACCTCCTCGCCCACACGATGGCCGTCTCCTGCACTCCTTCCCTGCTCCTCAAGCTTCGCGATACATAGCTTAGCATTACGGTCATAAGGCATCACGTCAACATGGCGTCGTGTTGCGTCAGATCACAACAAATCACATCACATACTGCTGTGTTTTTTACCTCCTGTGGCCGCCCTGCTATGGCCAATGCATCGGCCAAGTTGGGCAGTAGAGAGCTACCGATGAGACCTGTCTATCGGTCAAATTTACCAACATGTCGTCACCACCTCAGAAAAGAGATTCATTCCAACCATCATATGCATCGCCGTCGCAACCTTCCGGTTGCAGGGATGTGAAGAAACGCGACACAACGCGGTCAAAACAGTCCGGAAACGGACATTCATACCACCTCGTCCAGAAAAGTTCGGAGTCAGCATCCACGAAGGGGGAGAGCGCGCGCGAAAACACACGGGGTTTTGCCCTCGCATGGCACTCCAGGGAATAGGATGCAGAGGGGATCGAGGAGGGGGGAAAAGACGGGGGGGAGGGGGAGGTAGAGAAGGGGCGGTAGAGGGCGCCACCGGGGTACTGCCATTGCCACACGCGAGTGAGCGGGAGTCGGAGTAGCCCAGTAGTACACAGGGCTGCGCCACCGCCACGCCAGGGCCCAATCCCTTCCTTCCACCATCCTTCCCTGCCGGTATGTTCTCGCGGCGCGGAGGGGAATGGGGCTGGGACGGCGGGGGAAAGACGCGCATCGCAAAAGGAAGAGGCCAAGGGAGAGGCAACATTCTCCTTTCCTTCTCCTTCTCCCCCTTTTGAACCACCTTAGGGTTTTCACCCCATCCAAACCCTCTATCCCATCTCAACCCCACGCCGACGCCGCCGCCGCGCCGCCGCTGCCCTCTCCAACAACGCCAGTGCCATACAGCTCCACAATCATTAACATCATCGCCCACATGGCACAGCGCCAGCCGCTGTGCTATGGGCCCCTTATGCATGAGCCATCAGAAGGTTCCTAGGTCACGCGCCAAACTAGACACCACGCGTTGTGCATGTGCCCCTGTACAACAAGACCCGAGAAGATACACAGGCACAGGCGGGGCGGGGGTGGGTGGGGTGGGCCCAGCCCGTGCCGCATGGGTGGTGAGGGGACAGACACGGGCTCCGCCTCCCAGAGCTGCGGCACACTCACTCCATACCAGAGACCAGACCGCTTCCTCTCGTCCTCCTTCCAATTCCTCTCCTCATGCAGGCCTCCGGCAAATAATGCATTCCCAGTCCTCCGTATCCATCATACCGCACACTCCGCTCCAGCATACGATGCAAAGGCTACAATGCCGCCACACGACCGCCACAATGTCCGCGACGTGCCGCGGCGCGGCGCGGCGCTTTTCACGTGGCTGTGGCCACTGCTCCCATCATGCTGCTGGTGCTACCGATGCCATTGCTCCTAGTAACCCCATATACTCGAGCTCAGACCCCATCCCCCTCCACACACAACCAATCCCACTCGCCACCACAACGACCACCATCATCGCCGCGCGTACACCACCACCACAAGCCACCGCACCACTAAACCACCACCCCTTGGAACCAGGGGTGCTCTAGTGCCTGGCGTGCAGTGATGCGCCGGCTGGGGTCGTACGTGAGCAGACGCGACAGCAGATCCAAACCGGCGGGATCGCCAGCCAGCCGGGGAACCAGCTGCGACACGGTTTCGTTTGCGGCGATGATGGCGACACGGTGGGGCGGCAGGGATGGTGACAGAGCGGGACGAGGGGGAAGAGGGCGGAGGCAAAGAGGACGGTATGTAATACAATAAGAGGAGAATGAGGACATGAAAAAACATCACAAAGATTCACCCATTGGAGTTTGGGTGGAGGAAGAATAATGAGCCGGCAAGCCGCGAGCAGGATGCCAAAGCTGCAGCACCAGAGGCGGGTTGGGGGTTCATCGAGGCGGGTTGGGGGTTGGGGGTGGCAGCGAACAATCGGGGTGCCCACATGGGACATAAAACACCTCCATCCATCCATCCATCCATCCATCATGTGCTCACCTGGCGCATGGGCTTAGGCGGGAAGTTCGGAAAATCGTCGGAGAAGTGCGTCAAGCCCCGGAGGTCCTTCCACACCTCCAGGTTGGGTGTGCCCAGCTTCTCAAAGATGCGGAAAAGGAGACCAATCTGTTGTATTGTCGAGAGGTGTGGCGACAGTGACGGTGACGGTGAGCATGGGTCGATGGGGACTGGCGTAATCCTATATCTCGCCAAAGCGAAATGCCGTACTTGGCTTGTTAGAGATTTCTCAAAACACAGCTATTCAGGAAAGCGGCGCAGGAGGCGACAACAGACTCCCCCAGGCGGTCCGGGGCGGTCGCCCAACACATACCAAGACACACAAAACACAGATAGTCCATGGCCATATCCCACTACACATGCCCATTCGTTCACACTCAGCCCCAACCCGTAATCGAACGTAGGTGTCAGAGTCCCCTCCATACCCTCCCCCCCCAACCCCTTTTACGCAAAAAAACCCTTTGGGGCTACCTCCGTGTCCGCCTTGAACAGCGGCTCGAAGTTGATCATCTCCGCCATGATGCAGCCCACGCTCCACAAGTCGACCGCGCTAGTGTAGCAGGGGGAACCCAAAAGCAGCTCCGGAGCCCGGTAGTACAGCGTAACCACCTGCCGTACCACACCGTATAGTACATACACATGTGAGATACATGCCAATACATTTCCCTTTCTTCCTCCATAATCCTTCTTCCTCCATTACCAGCACATCCATTGCTATCATCTACTAAACGATTACTTTTAATATGACAGCGGTAAAATATTGTACAATGACATGTGGTAATTAATAACATGTGGCATGCAAATCACGCGCAATAGTCAAAAGACTCGGCGTACTTACCAACGTTCTCGTACATTCTAACGCATACAGATGTCCCCCGAACCCAAATTGGACACCTGCAATCATCCTCGGGTCGGAACAAGCTACTCACCCTCTCCGTATACGCCCGGTCCGAATTGGGCAGGAAGCACCTCGCCAGCCCGAAATCCGTGAGCTTGACCTGACCCTTGGCCACTCCAATCAGCACATTCTGCGGCTTGAGGTCCCGGTGCATGATGCTGTTCATGTGGGCATGACGTATGCCGCGAAGGATCTGCAACACCACCGACTGAGAACGGAAAGCGGAAGGGACGGAGGACATTCATTCTGTTGGGAAAGGAAAAACCGACAAGGCCATAAGGGAAACTATGGCCAAAGGGTATTATGTTGCAGAAGGCATGGATTCCCAGAGGGTTGGAACGAGTATGGGCAGCAGCAGTCGAGAACAGAGCAGCAGCAGCCAGACGTCCAGAAACGAAGTCTCCAGAACCCATCGCTGACCCAAATAGGAGATGTACATACATACACACATACACACACAATACATTCACACATACATCCATACATACGTGGATCCTAGTGGCAGACAGGCCAAGATTCCCACCTTGATCCTCCCAATCTCCGAGGCCTCAGGGTGGGTGTCCAGGTACTGCCGCAGGTCACAGTCAAGGAACTCCAGCACCAAGTGTACATGCTGGCCATTCGCGGTTGCGATAATGTCCTTCAGCCTGAAGTAAGGTGAACACAAGATTTGAACAACAAGAAGAACTGATGAAGAACAAAGACGTGAACGGGAAGTAGTAGCTGGTGGTGCCCGGCAGGGAGTGAGGTGGGCGGCGCGGGGGCTAAACCCCAGATGTCCCCACGCGCCTCCCACCACCACCACCACCCAACCCTATTTCCCCAACCCCCCTAAAGAGCCCTCCATTTCCTCCATTTCCATTAAGCCCCCATGCGTTTATGCTCATGTATCCCTTCTTCTTCTCCTGTACCCAGCCCCCATGCTAAACCCCTAAAACCTGAACCCTAAAACCCTTCTCCCGTACCCCGCCCCCGGGCCCCCCACACATGCACATGCACACGTATAATGACTTACTTGACAATGTTGTCATGCCGCAGCTCCCGCAATGTGCTGATTTCCCGGATGGTGGAGTCCGACAACCCGTGTTCCGCGCTGTGAGCCACCTGTCAAAGGATGGCGGTGTGTGGGTTGGGAGGGGGGGAGTGGAAGAAAGACGGGTTGAATGGGAGGCATGATGTGATGCATGAGACTTAACAACGAGCAAAACTGGCGGTGTAATGTGATGCCTGGCCGCGGTGTGTGTGTGTGTGTGTGTGTGTCGCGCGCGCAGCTCAAGGGATAATTGGCTGTAGGATGTTGCACGCGTGTTGCACACCGTGTTCGGCCCTGCATCTGGATAACTTAGCAGCAGTAATGGGCAGCTAGGTTGTGTGCAGGTAGTGGCTGCTGCGATGCCGCGGTGTGCAGTTCAGCAGCAGGCCGCTACTGTGCAGAAGCCCGAGGTCTCCAGTGGGGCAAGAGTTCTCGTCGGACGTTGTGTGTGTGTGTGTATGTATGTGAGTAGAAAAACGTTGCTGACGTCACATGGCGCATTCCGAGAATCATCTTCATGCATGCATGCGAATGCAAAACCTACCAGGAAAGATAACCATCGCCAAATGCGCAGTAGGAGCATACTGGAGAACTGCTAGATTGCACGGTTGGATGACGTGCGCGTGTGCGCGTGGGGGTGAGAAATTAAAAATTCCTCCGCCAGATCAAACAATCATCAGGAAGGATAGCGCCAGTGTGTGTGTGTATGTGTATGTGGAAAATCCATTCACCCGACAACAGCACAGCACAAAAACAAAACAACAACACGTAACGCACGCACATTGAAAAACGTACCCTTTTGATGGCCAACAGTTCCTGCGTTTCACGGTTCTGGGCCTTATAAACGACGCCGTATGAGCCGCTGCCCAGCGGCCCCATCTTAATGTACTTGTACTTTTGCAGTGCGCCCTTCAGACCCGCCAGGTCTAGGGTAGTGGTGAAGTCGTGTATTGGGTGCCAGCCAAACTTCTCCAGTAGGGACACCAACTCCTGTCGGGGGAAATTACATGCAAGCGGGGAAACCATATGACGCAAGAAACAAATAATCAACAGCCGACGTCCAAAAGGGGGGAGTTAAGGAAAAGGGGGAGTTAAGGAAAAGAGGGAGGAATGGGAATGGAGACGTGGGGTGGTAAACTTCTAGAGGGGTCCAGGAGCGCAGAAAGGGGAGAAAGGAGAGGGGAACGAGGTGAAGGGAAAGTCGGGCGCCCGTGAACTGGAAGAGACATTGAGTAAGGTTTTGAGAAGAGGGACGTGTATTCCAAACACATTCTGATACATACATGGAGCTGTAATCATATGTCATGATATTTATGAGGCGACCGGTTCTTGAGCAACTTATGGGTAAGGAAGCCGTGGCCAGGACTACTTGCAATAAGGCGACAGGGCGTCGCATCGTTGCGCACGCATATGGTGATGTAGACAGCGACGGCAGGTACGCAAGCCGTCAAAACAGAATTGGGGGAGATACTACATTGAGCCACAGGGCAATCAGGCCACAAGCCCCACGCAGAGCCCGCAAAATCGTGACTGAACACATATCAAGGAGCCTGTGGCCAACGGGACTGAGTAATAAGCGCGCGGAAGGCGAACAAGGTCTCGTCGCAACTCTCGAACAACGTTTGGTTTAACGCATTCCGTGCCCGCAACAAGACGCAAAACGATATACCAAAATGAGTACTTACGGTGTCCTTTTTAGCTATAAAGCAGCATCCTCAACACCGTTACTTGCCTGGTCAAACGGCAGCTGGCGCACAAGAGGAGCTATTGCCACGTTCGCCAGCTCCCTCTCGGCAGCTAGTGCTTTAAAATGCGAAAGATGCCATAGAAGATGCGTTATGGGCGGGTATTGTGTCGCGCCTGGGTTAAGAATATTGCCGTTCGCAGCTGGGGCGTGCATATGTCCTCCGGCCATCACAGCTTGCGTGTCGCAGTGGCAGCCACCATGCGCCATGACAGCTCAAAAGCCCAATGACAAGGTTTGCAACTTTCGGGTGTCTATGCTCTCATGAGCTGCGAGCGCGGGGTCACCTGGGTAAGTTAAACAGCCTAAACTTATAGGGGGTTGTTAACCGAGAGAAAATCAGAGACTTTAGCTAGGACCGGAAGCACAAGACAATATCTCGCAAGAGTCTTGCGCAAAGCCAAGGCACGATACTATCTAAAAATATAAGACACGAAGATCGGCGCCAGTAGATCAGAAATTCCATCCGAACATGAATCATACGTGCGCGCTTCAAATTGGGAGTGTTGCGTTCTGCCGTACCGTATATACAGTTGGGGATTTCGATACGACAGGATGTTGTCTTAAGCTGAGGACCGGAATACGTCAGCGTCTCCCTTCTGTGCCACCTAGCAAATTTTGGCTATCGTGTTGTGGTGGTGAAGCAGTAGGTATCGTCTGCGCGACGATGTCGAACAGCATGGAGAACGCGCACTGTCCCGAGCAAACACGGCTCCTGATCATCGACACCGATCCTGGCGTTGGTACGTCGTGCCTCAAAGCTTATGCCTGAGACCCATGCTGTGCCAAGCCCCAATAAAGCAACTTCAAAAGCGCACTTCCAGCTAGGACAAATCTGAACGAAGCAGCTGTGATTCTACTGCATACGGCTCAGAAAATCTCTTCCGATAATTTTTTTGGCATGCCAACTGGATCTAAAAAGATTTCCAGTAGAGATTATTCTCATAACGACACGATAATCTCCCTAGTTGATGCGGTGTCTGTGAGCAAGGTCGGCCACCACAAAGTGATGTCGTTCCCGCACCGTCACGAGCCACAACGTCATGAACCTTTTCCTATCCCCCTAAACTTCCTGACACGTAGCAGTACTGCCCTTTCTGACGCCCATTTCCAGTCCCAGTCCGGCCCCGCCATTTTCCGGCCATTTCCCCTTCCCACTCGCCCATCGGCTGCATCCCACATCGGCGGCAACAGGGGAAAACGCCTTTGAGAGCAGCAGCAAGCACGGCCTCACACACACAGCAAAACACATACACACGCAAAAAAACACATTCCCGCCCTTTTCCCCGCCCTCCCCCCTTTTCCCCCCCATCTCCATCCCCCCGCAGATGACGCGATGGCAATCCTCATGGCTGCCAACAGCCCCGAGGTGCAGCTGCTGGGCATTACGACAGTGTACGGCAACGTACCTACGGCACTTGCCACCCAAAATGCGCTGCGGCTGCTGGAGATGTCCGGGCTGAGAGAGGTCGTCCCAGAAGCGGCTGTGGGGTACAGGGTTACACCTTGCCGGTCGGCCGGGTGTAGTTGGGGGTACGGGGGAGTACGGCGCCTGTGTACGAGGCTCAGATTATAATGAAAGTACTATATATATATTGTCTAGCGTTCGTGTGTGCGTGTACGTGTGTGTGTGTATTGCGCACCTCTGGGTTACCCTTCCTCCCTCCCTTTCCTCCCGCCAATCTTGGTGCCACAGCGTGTGACTGTGGCCCAAGGAGCAGCCAGGTCCCTCAAGGCCGGGACAGACATTGAGCGTATCGCGGACTTCGTACACGGCGCCGACGGCTTCGGCGACATTGGCCTGCCGCCACCGCAGGTAGTACGACATTCAGCCGTACACTGCTATCTACCGTACACTGACAGCAGTGTACTGCTGGCGCGGCGTAGCGCTCGTTTGATGATGCTTTGCGAAGTGCATGATGCTTGCCAGCCTGCCGTCGTGCGCAGGTTAATACACACCCCGCGCCATGTTCCCGCCTGGGGTCACTCTCCCCATCCCCTGCTCTCCCCGGCCCCCCTTTCTCTCCTCTCATCTCCCCCGATCCCTCTTTCAACCCCCCTCCTCCTCCTCCCCCCCCCTCCCAGGGACAGCATCTCATGGATTGCTCTGCTGCGGAGTTTCTGGTTCGCTCAGTCAACCACCACCCTGGCCGTGTCACGATATTGGCTCTGGCGCCCCTTACCAACATCGCGCAGGCGCTCATGCTGGATCCGCAACTGGCGGACAAGTGGGTGCGTGCGTGTCGGGTTTCGGAGCGGGGGGGGGGTTGGAGGGGATGGAGAAGGGGGGTTTCGGAGCATCATAAGGGGGAATAAGGGGGGACGGAGCGGGGCTTTGAATTATTGCTATAGGCGATGGTAGTGTGGTAGTGGTAACGGCGGCGTGTCTGTGTATGTCTATATGTCTGTATGTCTGTATGTCTGTATGATGTGTGGGACAGGGGGGTCATATCTTCACCCGTGGCCGCTACCCGGCAGACCCTGCCTTCCCCGGTATTTCGGGGCACCCTCATCCAGTAACCCTAGTCAACTTCTCAGTGGATCGCTCAGGTTCAGCATCCACCACCGGCATCCAACGGAATCTGCCGGATCAATGGCGGCTCAACTCCGTTCCTGGTCAGCTCGCAGGTTCCCCCTCCCACCCCCGTCTTTATCCCCATGTCGTTTCGACTGAACCTCTCACACTCAGGCCCGTCCCGCTCCCCCTCCTTCCCCCTCCTTCCCCCTCCCTCCCCCTCCCTCCCCCTCCTCCCCCTCCCTCCCCCTCCTTCCCCCTCCTTCCCCCTCCTTCCCCCTCCTTCCCCCTCCTTCCCCCTCCTTCCCCCTCCTTCCCCCTCCTTCCCCCTCCCTCCCCCTCCCTCCCCCTCCTCCCCCTTCCCCTTCCTCATCTCCAGGATGAGCTGGTGGTCCTAGGGGGTGCGTTCTTCACCGGGGGTGAGTCCAACGCAACAAAACACACACGCACATGCAAGACACGCACGTGTGTTTTGTTGTGTACGAGGATGGGAGTCTGACCTTAAGTAATTATTCCATCGTCGTGTTCATTGTCGTCCATGGTGCAATTTATTTCAATCCCACTACCTCCCAACTGCCAACCGCCAACCGCCAACCGCCCCGGAAAGGCAACGTCAACCCGGCTGCGGAGGCCAATATCTTTGGAGATCCCGATGCGGCGGATCTGGTTCTTGGATCCACTTCTCGGCTCCGGATCCTGGGGCTGGATGTGACTCAGAAGTGCCGATTGTCAGGAGAGCAACTAGAGGTAGGTGTGTGTGTTTTGGGGGTGGGGGGGCCGGAAGGGGGGGAGCATTGGTTTTTTTGGGGGCTTTTTGTTTTTTTTGTGTTTTTTCTGGGGGAGAAATCATTTTTGGGGGCGAGCCATTGGTGAGGTCGCGGCCGAAGCAGGATTGCCTAATTGCCTAATTGGGATACACCCACACGCGTATTTAAATAGTCCAACAAACCATCCGCCCCATTCTTTTTCGTCTAAACAACCAACCAACCAACCAACCAACCTCATCGGCAAAGCAGCAGCATCGCCGGCCTCCTTTCCCCCCTCCCCGCAACCACAGGCCATGCAAGACAAGGGCAAGTACGGCACCTTCATTTCCAGGATCTCCCAGTTCTACCTAAACTTTCACCGGGTGTGTGTGTCTTGCGGTGACGGGGGTTTCAGGGAGATGTGCGTGTGTGTGTATGTGTATGCGTGTGTATGCGTGTGTGCGTGGGAGGAAAGGCCCGGCACTGGTCGATCAAGGTGTTGAAGGGGGGAGGGGGGGCCAAGACAAGGAAGGGCTACATAAGGGAGGAGGGCTGGGTGGGGGAGTGAGAGCGGCGGTGGTGGCGGCTTTCTGAAATGTTTGGATAGGACGTGTGTGCTTGTTTGCCGCGTGGGATTTGGCCATGAAACCGGGCTGAGCAATGTATTTTGTTTTCTCTTCCTCTCTGTATTTATTTATATATATGTTTTTTACATATATATGTATATAAAAAATATTTCTATTTATGTATATGTGCATTATTTTAGGTTTTTGTGATGTTGTTGTTGTTGTTACATGGTCGTGGGTGCGTTCCCCGTACCTGCAAACCACCCTAGTACGAGCCGAGGGCTCAAGGGCTGCCAAATCGCCTATAAGCACCATCCTACCTCGCACTTCCAACGAAACAAGTAATGAAGTATACTAACGACCAAAGGGAACGATAGAGTTGCGGTGAGACCATATACGTTCCAGCATTCTTGCCAGGCGTTCAGGTTCCCACTTCATAGCGTCCTTCATATGTTCGAAGCGTGGAAAGCCCATATCAGATCTGATTCCGTCGTAAACCGGACAGTCCAGCAAAATGTGTTTCTCATCCTCGATGTGGCTATCAGTGCCGCAGCAGGGGCATACTCGCTCCTCCCTAGGTATATAACGCCGTCCCTTACGCGCTCTGTTAGCCGCCAGTGCCCAACAGCAAAGCCTAAACTGCATAAGCTTGCAATTCGCCGAACGTGGGATAAACATTGTGATGTGCGGGAGCACCTCCTTCCTGCCCGCTTGCTCGGCCGCCAGCCCCATCCAATGCTTATACTTCGCCATGTGAATTCCTGGTTGTTTGCCGTCTGACGGATACACGTCAGGCTGGACATCTAAACGTGTATGCTTCCAACCACTCACTAATCGGTCCTTGAACTCCGAAATCACACCTTCTGGCATTGGCTTGTTCATCAGCCACTCCACTCGTTCGTCTACCTCGTGTAGCCCTTGCGGGGCCTCTTTCCATACATCGTGCCCCAAAAAACATAGAAAACGGAGGAGTAGTGTCCCCCATCCGGGTCCTTCGGGGTTGGAGAGGGATTCTGCGACCTCCTGTCGCAAAACTTGGTATGCCACAGACCCACGCTGTAAACGGACATGGTTCCAAAACCTCACAACCTGCTTGAGAACGTGGTAGTGTAGGGGTAGCTGCGATAGCTCTGCGAACAAGAGGCGGTGTGTTGGTCTGGCAGCTCCTACAATTTGCCGCATGAAAGATATCTGAAGCTGCACTGCCCTGTCCTTTAGGCACGCCTCGAAGGGCCCCTCTGCAAGGTTTTTGTGATGTGCATTTTTATGTGTATTTTCTCGCGCCTTTCCCCTGGGGCCCCGGGTTACTCCCCTTCTCCTTGCCTTAGGAGTGGTACGGCATGGATGCCATCATGTTGCATGATCCCACTGCCATGGCCGCTGTACTGCAACCCGAGCTCTTCGAATGGCGGGCGGGTGCCGTACGAGTGGCGTGCGAGGGGGTGACCAAGGGGCAAACCGTAATGGACGGTGAGTGTCGTGCCTCGTACGGCGGTGAATGTCGATGATCAGCTCCGCGACATGCAGCAACGGCACCCAACCCCTCCCCCCGGGGCTCTTTACGGCTTTGTCAAAGTCATATACACTCCGTACACCGCACTCCGTACACCGCATGGCATGTAGTAGGCCATGTCGATACATACCCGCTCCAAAATACATAAGAGTTCATTGACACACACACGCACACGTACACGCACACACGCACACGCACACGTACACGCACACGTACACGCACACGCTTCGTCTTATTGCCCGCCTCCTGCACCCCCAATCACCACCTATCAGCGTCACCACCGGCATTTCTTTCATCGCGGTCCAGAGAATTAAAACACGCTTACACACATACATACATACATACACACACACCGGCGACGCGGGGCTACGTCTCGCAGTTCAGAGACTCTCAAGTAGGGGGTACGTTTTCCAATTGTTGCAATTGCATGTGGCCCTGCTGCCTCAACTTTTCCCCATGCCACTTGCAGCAAGCGTCAAAGGTTTCCATGGCCACCACGGCTGGGCGGATCGGCCGCGCGTGCGGGTGGCGCTGGGCGTGCAACATGAAGCCGTGGTGCGACTGATCCACGACCGGCTTACTGCATAACAAGGCTTATCATTACAAAGTTTTTGAAAATTTTCAAATCGAGCAGGTGTTATGGTAAATCCTTGCGATCCTTTTGACTTTTGACTTGCGACTTCGCGAGATGTAAGCCGCGCGCAGATATTTACTTCGCTTCGCACCCGCAATTTGTTTTGCAACCAGCCATAAATGCCACAGTCGCGGGGCACCTTGTCTGTGAGCCCGGTTATTCCTGGCGTCATGATTTCTGATTTTCGTTTGATATATAATACTGCTCAACCCGGCAAGTTTATATAAGGGATCTCAGAGCAGGTGCTTGGTGGCAGATGATGGCGCTCCAGGCGAGCAATTAGCTGTCTGAGGGCGGGCGTTGGCGCAACTCTTTGAAGCCCTTGCGTTGCGTTGCGGTGGTGGGATGCGCTCTGGATCTGCAGGATGATGCGGTTAAAAACCAAAGCTAAGGAAACTTGCAAATCAAGCTTCAGACTACTTGTTTGCCTGCTGCTGCTTTTGCGCCGGCGTGGTAAGGATGTGAGGAAACGCGCGATGTGCTGGAAATGATGCGATCAGGACCACCAGCTGGGGTTTCCTTGGTGTGCGAAGCGATAAGTGGTAAGAGATTCACGGATGGATAATGGCTATGAAGCGACTGTCATCTGGACATCACATCAAAAATATTTAGATTCTGAGATGTTACCTTTCTGATGGGGGCCGTTTCACAACATAACGCTCGTTGTCGCATGTCGAAACTAGCAGCGGATAACGTTCGTCCAGAACGTTAAAAATCCTTCTGGGGTTTGCCGACCCGCATTCCATTGATGATACAACAACAGCAGCTAAATAAGATATTAATGAAAGGAAACAATATGGCTAGCAGCGCTAAATGACAGCAAGGGCAGTCCAGCAATCGGTTTCAGCTGCCACAACAGCAAGCACAGCAGCTGCTGCTACAGCTACCGCCGCAGCTGCTGCTACAGCTACAGCTGCTGCTACAACTACATCCAGACAGGGGGCCCCGTCAGAGTCCCTGCAGCAGCTGGTGGAGGAACGGCGCTGGCCACGGGCGGTAGAGCTGGCGCGTGCGCGTTTGGGTCGCGACCCATGGGACGTTGATGCGTGGTGGGGCCTGGCGCGGACCCTCCTGGTAGGTCTTCGGGAGCCAGAGGCGGCCTACGCCGCGTGCTGCCGGGCCCTGCAGGCCTTGGAAAAACGGCCACCATCTCCTCATCCTTCTCCCTCTCCACCCAGTAGCCCTCCTAACCGTCCTAACTACGGGCCAAGCCATGAAGGACAGCGGCAACAGCAGTGGCAATCGCGGCCACAGCCACAGCCACAACAGCAGCAGCAGCAGCAGCAGCAGCAGCAGCAGCAGCAGCAGATCACTGCGTTGCGCTTCGAGTGCCTATCCGCCGTGGCCCGCGGTGATAGCCATGCCGTACAGAGCCGGTGGGCAAGATCCGGTCTGACTGCTGTACAAAACCGGCCGACGGGTGGTTGGAGTAGCAGCGATAACAGTGGCGCCAGCGGCAGTGGAAGCAGCCGCAGCAGCTTGAGAAGCGAGTTTCGACGTCTGGAAGTCCACTGCTGTAGAAATAGTGGCAGCAGTGGCAGTGTCGGCGAGGTCGATGAACGTCGTCGCCATGAGAGCGCTGGCGGCGGCAGTGCCGTTGGCGCCAGTGGATTTGAAGCAGCTGCGGCTGTGGTGGCAACGAACTTGAGCTGTAGTAAAGAAGCGGCGGCATCGACAGCGGCGGCTGCGGTGGCGACAGAACCCCAACGGTGCCGCATCTTTATCCTGTCAGACCTGCACGCCGATGTGTCGCTCACCCCCAGGTTGCTCCATTCCACCTCACACACATACACACACACATACACAGACCTTCTGCGTCGCATCAGCGTCACGCGCTTCCAAAACGACGTGCTGCTTGTAGCAGGTACAACATTGCAAACACAAAAATGATAAAAATTGAAAAAAAACTCTTCCTTGAATTGGATTCGGAATCCCAACCTGACGATGCCTTGGTAGATAGCGTCATGTCGTTCGAATGAACCCTTTTACATCCTGTTCAAAACTTGCTGGGAAGTATACACGCATGTACGGCACCTTGAGAAGGCTTACAGCATCTTGAAGCGCACAGCAGTTGCGAACACACTGGCGGTCCTGGCTTATTGGCATTCGCCGACGTCCCTTTGTCAGTCTGTTGGCCTGAAGGAACGCACACCAGCGTTCTCCTGAGCGTACAAGCCCCGATGATGGCTTTCCAATCTGATGGACTCCCGAACTACATAACAAATACCATTTCAGCCCCTCAAGCTGTATCCTGGTGGTGGTGGTGCTGCTGTTGATGCTGTTCCTGGTGCTGCTGCTGCTGCTGTTCCTGGTGCTGTTCATGATGGTGATGGTGCTGTTGTTCAGTGCTGTCGCTGCTCATGCTGCTGTTGCTGCAGCTGGCCCATGCTGATCGCTAACCCTACACCCCCCTACACTCCCCAACATCCTCCTACACCCCCCAGGCGACGTCGCGGATTCACTTCCGGCCATTCGGGAGACTCTCAGGTTCCTGAAGGAGCGATTTGGCCGCGTGTTCTACGTGCCAGGTGGGTGGGGATCAGAGGCTGGCTGGGTGGCTGGCTCGCTGGGTGGCTGGGTTGGTGTTTGGATGGCTGGGTGGTTGGGTGGTTGGATGGCTCGCTGGGTGGCTGGGTTGGTGTTTGGATGGCTGGTGGTTAGGTGGTTGGATGGCTCGCTGGGTGGCTGGGTTGGTGTTTGGATGGCTGGTGGTTGGGTGGTTGGATGGCTCGCTGGGTGGCTGGGTTGTTGTTTGGATGGCTGGTGGTTGGGTGGTTGGATGGCTGGATGGTTGGCTGGTTGGGTGGTTGGGTGTATTGCTGCTTGGTTGTGATGGGGGAATGGATTGATGGATGAAAGGATGTGCTGTACGGTGCACTACAAGAAGGAAAGGAAGCAGCATTTTCGCTTCCGGCCCCATCCACTCATTGCCACAACCCTTAGAATATAACCAACCAACCAACCAACCAACGAACCCCGCCTCCAAACTAGCTCCACACCCCCCTCCCCTTGCCTCTCCCCCAGGTGCTAGTGGGCCCCGCACAGAGAGAGAAGGGGAGATAGAGGAAGAGAGGCAAAACACGCCGTTCCTTAACCCCACCTTGCCTTGACTTGACTTGATGTATCAGTTATTCAATAGTCTTGTGGCCCAAGTTCCCGGACGACATCATTTCCTGCTCAACGCCACGCCGTGTGCACCCTGCCACTCCCGCACCCTGCCATTCCCGCGCCAACACCCCGGAGCAGGCAACCACTGCCTGTGGCTCCGCCCCAACCTAGAGGAGGACTCCTTCCCGGACTCCTTCTGCAAGCTGTGGGCTCTGTTGGCGGAATGTGACGAGCTGGGGGTCGAGACAGTGGCGGCGGAGGTGGCCCCAGGCGTGGTGGTGGTGCCGCTGCTGTCCTGGTACAGCGCCACCTTCGACACAGCCGACCCGCGGTACGGTTGTCTATGCTCCTGCTCCTCCCTGTGCTGTGTTTTGTATCCTCTGTCATGCCTTTTCCGTTTGCTCTTTTCTTCTGAGAGATCTGGATGCGTGCCGTGTTATAGTGTGCCGTGTTTTGTGTCTGCCTGCCTCTCTTCCTCTCTCTATGTGTGTTCCTCTCTCTCTCCATCTCTGTATTTGTGTATTAAAGCAGGGGCACTAACGTTCGTTCGTGTGTTTCACTTCTGTTAGATTGTGTTTTATTATGTGGTGTTGTCTTGTGGGCTAGACTCCATAAGTCCTTACCTAACTCAGGGGCGTTCCTTGGCGCTCCTGTACGTGCCGTCCCGCACAAGACCCAGATGGTCTAGGGGGTTTGACCCTGTGTAAAGTTAAACCTCTGCCCCGCCTTGCCCCACCCGGCTGGGCCCACCCCTGTAGTCCTGGCCGGTACCAGTTTGACAGCTGGTGTCGCTGGCCTGTGCGTGACCTGGACTTGTGGCAAGTCATGCTGCGTCTCAATGATGTGAGCCTCGCCGCGGTGGGGCGTTGGCAGCAATATAAGCTGCAACAGCAACAACAAAAAGCGGAGTATCAAGGTCCATTACCACCACCACCAGCACCACAACAACGACAACAGCAGCAGCAAGGGGAGAGTGGCCCCGTGGATGCCGGGGGAGCAGTGACTGTGCAGAGTAACCTGCCACAAGCCTTGGCGAAACCTGGGCGCAGCGGCCAAGGGGGTGCTAATGTTGGTCTTGGGCAGCCGATGCAGCCGTCGCCATTGCCAGCATTGCTGGCAAGCAACAGCAGCACCGTCATCACCATGACACATTTCCTGCCTCATCCAAAGCTGCCCTTCCCGCGTTTCGTCCCGGAGATGGCGAAGGCGGTAGGCTGCCGGGAGGTGGTGCTGCTGCTGGACCGTTTGGGGTCTGACGTGCACGTGTATGGACATACGCATATGCCACACGATGAGGTGCTTGCGGCAGAAGGGCGGGATGTGGGGGGAAGGAGTGAAGCCGGTGGTGGTGGCGGCTGTGTCCGGCATGGGGGAGCTGGGAAAGGTGTGAAGTACTTAGTTCCGGCAGGGGTTGGAGAGGGGAAGCAACGTCGCTATGTGCACTGGCCGCTGCATGGCCAGAATGATGGGCCGGAGCTGAAATGCGTGTGGGATGGACAGGCGCTCTGCAGCATTATTATGAATGCAGGCGATTGAAGCTGCCGTCTACGATGGATTTTACCAAATAGGAAAAAACAAAGAACGAATCTGTTCAATAAGGTATTGTGGAAGGGAGAAAGAACGGGCGCAAGCAGGTCCAGCAGAATGAGACTCTGGTAAGGTGGTGTTAAAAAACACCATTTTTTAATTTTAGAGGTTCACGAGGAAGCTCACGAAGAAGTGAACTTGGTGACGGCCTTGGTGCCCTCGGACACAGCATGCTTGGCCAGCTCGCCCGGAAGCACTAGGCGCACTGCCGTCTGAATTTCGCGCGAGGTCACAGTGGGCTTCTTGTTGTAGCGACTGAGCTTAGATGCCTCGGTGGCGACCTTCTCGAAGATGTCGTTGATGAAGCTGTTCATAATGCTCATCGCCTTGGAGCTGATGCCAGTATCAGGGTGAACTTGCTTCAACACCTTGTAAATATAAAGCTTGTAGGTCTCGCTCTTTGCGACCTTGGCCTTCTTCTTTGCTTTCTTATCGCCCTCGCCCTCGCCACCGGCAGATGGCTCCTTGGCAGCCTTCTTCGCTGGCGCCTTCTTCTCCTTCTTGGCAGGTTTCGCAGCCTTGGCTTTGGCCTCAGCCTTAGCCGCAGCGCCAGCCTCGGCCTTCTCCTCGGCCTTCTCCTCCTTCACGTTCTTAGGGGCCATTTTACTAGTTGACGTAAAGTATTTCAAGAAGGTAAGTACCAAACAACTGTAGATGTCAAATGAAGCGCTTTTAGAACTTGTAGTGTTTGGTGTGCAAGACCGTTGCCCCGGCGATCCATCTGCCGCTCGTCCAACGGTCATCGTACCTCCGCAGCAACGAGCCACGTCCGTCTTTCCTGTAGGAAATAAAAAGCCTAAGACTTTTTGTAAAGCCAAAGTTACCATTAAACATAACCTTCTCACTTCTTGCGATATTTAAGTCAAGCCAACAATGGCTGGTCGTGGCAAGGGCAAGACTGCCGGCAAGAAGGCTGTCAGCCGCAGCGCAAAGGCAGGACTGCAGTTCCCGGTGGGTCGCATCGCCCGCTACCTCAAGAAGGGCAAGTACGCCGAGCGCGTCGGTGCTGGTGCTCCTGTCTACCTGGCCGCTGTTCTGGAGTATCTGACTGCTGAGGTGCTGGAGCTAGCTGGTAACGCGGCTCGTGACAACAAGAAGAATCGCATTGTCCCTCGCCACATCCAGCTGGCCATCCGCAACGATGAGGAGCTGGGCAAGCTGCTTGGCGATGTGACGATTGCGTCCGGTGGTGTGCTGCCCAATATTCACGCTGTGCTGCTGCCGAAGAAGTCCAAGGGCGGCAAGGGCGAGGAGGCGGCCTAACGGTCACGTCAGCCTGTCTCGTCAACCCTGAAAACTCGGTGTTTATTAACACCACCCCTCTGTTGTACTTTTTAGGACTGGGAACATTTCAGCATTATGCCTTTCCACGTAAAAAATATGGTGCCCTCCATTGGACACTAATTCCGGTACAGGTGCAATCTGTACCTTCTGGATGCTTCTCTCCATATCGAGAGCACTTTGATGGATAAAGATTACACCGCCCGCGGCTAATGTTTAGAACAGACCAACTTAGGGTTGCCTGGCAATACTCTAGCTAGCCTGTCCCAATTTATTCCACAGCGATGTCCTGCGATATTAGCACCCATGTGTCCTGTGCTATTCAATAAAATGCATGCGCGAGGAGAAACACGTGCTGTCGGAACATCTGCTATGTCCAAGCGTACAGCAGGCAGTTTACAAAGCCAGTACAGCAGCAGCACTCTCCTCACCCAGGCGATGCGGGAATTGCGAGCAATCCACCCGTGCATGCCTCAGCGCTGAACAGGTCCTTTGACCAACTCTCCCCCTGTTTTGCATGAAAGAGTACCTTCTAGCTCTGGGTGGTAATGCTGGTGTGCGTTGGGGCAATTCACCTCCCACCCCCCGATGCATCTATCCTGCCTTAGGTGGAGGTTCTGCCTTTCTGGGTCGTTGTAGATCTGTCCAAGGTGATAACTGGCTGGCCTGCTCGAATGGTAATGCAACCAGCAAGGTTTTCTTTCTGTCCAGCCAGGTTTGTCGGGGCCTTGGGCCGTAGGCTAGGTTGGGGGCCCCCTTATTAGTGGTGGCGGTTCACGACACGTGCTGGGTCGTAGACTTCCAGTTGGCTAGCAACGTGGGTTCGCGGGGAGAGTTGGGCTGCAGTAAGGTGTTCCTCCTCTGGCATCAGAGCTGAGGCGCTGTCAGTGCCGGTTTGGGAGGCGATGGAGCTGCTGCGGGGAAGGAGAGATGGTGGGGCTGGGGAAGGGCGGGGTATGCTGCAGGGTGGCCATCGCTGTCCCCGCCGGCGGAAGAAGATTACAGCAGGGGATATACAACCTGGATGTGACTGCGTTGGTGGGGCTGGTGGGTCTGGTGTCGTTATGCCAAGAAAGCAAATTCAGCAAGAGGCGCTATCAACCGCTGTTGCTTACGGCGTGTGTTTGCTGATCGGCCACGAGAAGTCGTGGGATTGCATTATAAAGTAGCCAAGGCAAAGTCATTGATGATAACTGAATTTCGCACTGCCTTGATGCCAAGAGCGGGCGAGATGCAGCTAGCCATAATCTCTAGCTCCCGACGATGTCGGGGATCTATTCAGGAATAGAATTCAGGAACTTGAGTCGCAAACTGCAGCGGGGTGTCTCCAGACCCCACCCTTGCTGCCAACAGCGGGCGAGGTCGCATTCATTTCGGACCCCTCAAGAGCTTCATTAGCTTTATATTACGGAGACGAAAGCAGGATTTCACACTATGCGAAATGGACCGCGTTTCGCAGAATATTAAGTGTGCTTGCGAGTAAAACAAGTTTCAGGAATTAGTGAGCGGCCGTACGGGACGCAAGGAAAACTCAAAACTGTAGCAGATAACAATTGGACGTTTTTCAGACATTTCGTAACCACAGCTGCAGCCTATAAGCGCCTTTCGGCTGCGGGTACTGCGATATGATCCGCAGCTCTTTCCGAATTTTGTTCCTAGTTCTATAGGCTTCTTACTAAATCGTTACGCGCTAAAGTTGCAGACAATGAACCGCTGCTTACAGCACCATAGCAAGCGCAATCAGTGTTGCGACATGCCCGGTTTACGGAAGGTTGACGACGGTCTTGGCACAAGTGTATTAAGCTATAAGTAACGAACGACAATACCACAACAGGTCAAAACATCTTTAACTCTGTTTTTTATTTCCTCGTCACCGTAGAGGAAGCAAGTAAAACTCTGTACAGGGTCACTTGCCGCGAATAACGGCATCGTCAACCCCTGCATTGAATAGGTAATTAGCACGGTATCTTTTTTAGTTCCTACAATCTGTGACAGCATTTCAAGAAGCTGCCGTTTTATCAAACGGGATGCTCGCCCGTGTTCCCTTTCCGAGAGCGACGTTGAAGAGGTTCGTTTTCTGCTTGCCAATCACATAATTTTGAATACTTTTGTTTTAAATATCGCATGTGCGTCTTAACTTATTGCCCATCGGCAGAATCTCGGCTCTTTCCACCTTAACAGCGCAACGAGGACACGCGCTCGATCGCTATCAGGCCATGTTACCAATTGCTTATTCATTCCACCCGCAGAGCTGCTCGCGCCTTGACCACCGTGTGCAACTCCAGCATGGCAGCTGACCCTGCCAAGAAACGAGTCCTCATCGTCGGGGGTGTTGCCGGAGGCGCGAGCTGCGCAGCGCGCCTGCGCCGCATGGACGAGCAAGCTGAAATTACAATCTTCGAGCGAGGACCGTACGTCTCCTTTGCAAACTGTGGCTTGCCGTACTTCATTGGAGATGTCATTAAGGTACCCCTCTCGGCACTCCAAGCGGGCCTCTTCTCGAACCCTCACTCCCCCGTCTCTGCTGGCTCGCGAGCTTCGTTTTCATTTTAAACATCCGCATCCGTATAAACGCACATCCTTTCCTAACCCTTCAAAGGCGACTTCCTCTTTTACTTTCCACGAGTTCGTGCCGTACATCGTACACCGTACAGTTTCTCTTGGGCGTCCATAACACGTTCACCAAATTAAATGCAGGAGCAATCGAGCTTGCTGGTGGCCAATGCGGCCAAGTTCCAGAAGTGGTTCAATGTGACCGTTAAGGAAAGCACTGAAGTGGTGGCCATTGACCGGGCCGCCAAGAAAATTACGGCACGGGACGTGAATAACGGCCAGGAGTCGGTACATCCGTACGATTACTTGGTGCTTTCGCCAGGCGGCCATGCGGTGCGTGTGGACAGCAGAGGACTTGGGACACGATTCGCAAGAAAGCTTAGGGATGGCTTCATCACATCATTACGAAGTATCATTTTTTTGCTTGTATCCCAATCGAAATGCATATCGGTTTTGCGAATAGAGCTTATGATGGGATCGCGCGAGCAGAGGAGCTCACAAAAAGTCGTGAAAGACGAAAATCATGTATTTTTGGAGTGCCCAGCATATATAACAGCGCATGCAGGGGCTTTCTTTCGGGTCTCAGGTGAATGGATCAATCGGACTGTGAGCGGGATGTGATTGTTGTGGATCGCCCGCGGGCCCCGTCAGGGCTCCAGGTGTAACATACATACATGTGGGGCCCCGTCCAGGTTACACCTTTTTGGAGGGTACAACACAGCTCCAGAAGTGTGCAACACACACAAGCACATATATACTTATTATGACTGAATTGCCAAAACAGGCAACAAGGAGAGGCCTTCCAGTTCGTGCCTCACACACGCTCACTGTTCCATGTTCCTCTTTTTTTACGCACATCTTTTATTTTACGGCGGCAGATCCGTCCGCCCCTCCCAGGAGCTGATCTCCCGGGCATCTTTGTTGTTAAGACTATTCCGGATGCCAACGCCATTAAGGCTTGGATCACGGAAAAAGGCGCCAAGTCTGCGGTGGTTGTGGGCGGCGGCTTCATCGGACTGGAAGTGCTGGAGAATTTAGTACACAGGGGGCTCAAATGCAGCCTTGTGGAAATGCTGCCACAGGTACGAGACGTACGGCATGTACGGCATGTACGAGTCACAACCTGTCCTAAATGTCCGATTCCTTTTAGTTATTCCTTACCACAAACACATGCGAAGATGGCACCTGCCTCACCCACACCTACATCCCAAATCCCCTCCCGTTTTTTTCCCTCCGCCTGTCCCATCGATCTCTTCCGGCCGTACAATAACCAAAATCGTGACTGTAATTGTAACTGCCGTCAGGTCATGCCGCCGTACGATCCCGAGGTCGTTGAGCCCGTACACGATCGGCTCCGTGCCGCCGGCGTGGAGCTGCACCTGGGGGATGGCGTGTCGGGTTTCGAAGCCGGTCCGGCGGGCAGTGCCGCCCTGCTGGCGGTGAAGACTCAGAGTGGCAAAACCCATGCCGCGGACCTGGTAGTGCTGGTGGGTCGGTGGATTAATGGGCCGTTCATAATGTGGCTGCGTCGGTGGGTCGGTGGGTCAGTGGTTCAGTGGGTCGGACAGGAGTTTGGGAGTTTGGAAGGTGGGGTAGCGATTCACTCGAGCGTCGTGTATGTAGGGATCTCATCGCCGCAAGGTCATGAGCCCCAGGGAGGGCCCCAGTTGTGGCAGATGCCTACCTCTAGTTGTAGTCCCATCCTCCGGCTTCGAGCTGACGTACGACAAGTTCCACGCGACACTCCCGTTCTGCCTCGCGTGCCGTTCAGGCGATTGGTGTCCGCCCCGAAACCACACTGGCGCGGCAAGCGGGTTTGGAGCTGGGCTCCCGGGGTGGCATCAAGGTGGACGAGCGCATGCGCACCTCGGACTCGGCCATCTTTGCTGTCGGTGACGTGGCAGAGGTAAGGCTGCGGCTGTGTGGAGGTGGGATGGGTGGTGGGGCTACTTGCAAGGCAAAAACCTCTTAGAAGGTAATTGCCTCGGGCTGGGATGAAGAAGAGGAATCTGTGAATTAACCCAGAGGCCGCAATCTCGACATCTGAACAACTGCAGAACCCGCAACATTTGCTTCTTCGGCGGCGGCGTGGATGTGGCGGGGTTTAGCTGAGGGTGCGTGTGTTTGCTGAGTGATTATTAAAGGACCGCAATCCATGAAAAGACTATGCCGTATGACGTTGTACGGCATATGTGCACGGCACAGGTCAAGGACTTTGTGACGGGCGAGCAGACGCTGATCCCGCTGGCGGGTCCGGCCAACCGCCAGGGCCGTATCGTTGCTGACGTCATCAGTGGAAAGTGAGTTGGGAGCGGGTTACGTGTGCGTGTGTATGTATGTATGTGTGTGTGTTTGTACGTTTCTATGTACATGCGTTTATGTATGTTTGCCTACGGCGGTGATGGCGATGATGACGTCATAGCAGGATGGACATACATATGTGGATACGATTGAGCTTTGTGAAGGATCTGTTTCCCTAGGAAGCTCTGCCCTGACCCTAACCACACACGCACCTTATGCGCCACGAACACTGACACATGGCTTTCCCTGGGCTCCCCGACCCCTCCCGAAACCCAAACACACACATACATACATTCACACATTCACACATACACACAGTGAGCCCAGTCGCTTCCGCGGCAGCCAAGGCACCTCTGTGGTGGGGCTCTTCGGATTGACGCTGGCCGCCACAGGCGCCTCGGAGAAGACCCTGCGGCGGCTGGGTCGAACCTTCCGGAAGGTCTACCTCCACATCAACAACCACGCGGGCTACTACCCAGGGGCCAAGCAGATCGACATCAAGCTACTCTTCGACCCGACGGTGGGATTGAGGGGGGAGGGAATAGGGACGCTGTGTGTGTGCGTGTGTGTGTGTGTGTTTTGGCAGGGGACTGTGCGTGTGTTGAACTGGGGTTATGGGGTTGGATTGCATGTTTGAGCGTCGTACAACACACTGCACGACATTTGTAAGCGGGTCGTTTCCCTCTACCAGGAATTCTGACCTTCGACTGTCCGAATGTGACAATGGCTTGTGCCTTGGGAAAGGGGTTCGTTACGCTCAACTCCGTTGTTGTCGTTGACCGTAAAGTCGTGCCCTGATACAGGAAGGTCCTCAGCTGGCTCACTCCCGCACTCCCCGGTATCAGCCGCCACTCACCTGGACACACAGTGCATACATACAGACTCAACCGCCTTCCCTTGGTGCATGCCCTCTCGAAATATGGACTAGACTTCTGCGTCGAAACCCCTTTTTCATGTCTGTATGCCTGTATGTATGTATGTATGTGTGCCCAAATCCCTTCTCTTTTCCCTCTGTCTTGTCCTTTTTCCCCACCTCCCCCCTCATTCCCCCGCCCCGTAGGATGGTCGGGTGTTGGGTATGCAGGCAGTTGGTGAGGAGGGTGTGGAAAAGCGAGTGGATGTGGTGGCTATGGCTATTCAGAAAGGCGGCACGGTGTTTGATCTGGAGGAGGTGAGGGAGAGGGAGAAGGGGAGGCCAGGGAAAGGCCAGGGGGAAGTCGGGGATCCCCATACAAACACACGGACGTTTTTATGGACATGTGCACACGAACCCCATTCTGAACTTGCAACCCCGCCGTGCTGGCGTTTTCGTTCCTAGGACTGTGCCGTACTGCATCGTTCCGGCTGTATCCGTGTGTTTTGTGGCGCTTACGTCCAAGCCCCTCCCCCGGCTCCCCATTCCCCTCTACTACCAGCTTTCCCCCATAACCTCCCACCCATCCTGTTGCTCGCTCGCTCACTCCCCTCCCCCTCGCCCCGCCTTCCTCCCCGCCAACCCCGGGGATGCTGGGTTTTCTCCCACAGGCCGAGCTGTGCTATGCCCCGCAATACGGCAGCGCCAAGGACCCCGTGAATATGGTTGGCATGGTTGCGGCCAATGTGCTCCGGAACCAACATCCGTTGACCAGCTGGGACGAGCTTGACTTGCAGGCATTGACCGCGGATCCCGGGTGCGTCTTGGTGGATGTGAGAGAGGTAAGGACTGCCAGAAGGACCCCGAGCCATGTGGGGGCTTTGTTGGAGTTTAAGTTTGTTGGCCAAGTACGACACTTACGTTGGGGGTCTTTCTGGGCTTGAGGAAACCCTGGTAGGTATCTACTCGAAGCACGGGCATGGTAGTTGGCAGTTGGAGGTTAAGGGTCGGTTTATGGTTTGGGAAGACCCGGCAAGATGGTCTCAGACGGGGGAGAACCAGGCGAAGAGCAAACAGGAATACATTGCAGAGGTAGAAAGAACTCCCTAGTCTGTTGTATATATGTATGTATGTGGAGGGGGGCCCTGGGTGGGGCAAGAAAAATGGAAAGGAATGGAGCGGCGTCCTGGAAGGGGGTAACTAGGGTTTTCCATTAGGTAAAGAGATAGCACGATTTTGATGGCACAAGGATTCTGAGCACAGAACAGTGTTTTTTGCCATCGGATGATGCCACTTTATCATTGCAAAGAAGCACGCAAGGTAGATCAAACACACAGAACGAACAAACGTAGACATATATTTCTCCGGACGACTATGTAAGCAGTGGGGATGGTGTTGTCGTACATGACGCCAGTCGTATTTGGCATTCGACACGACACCAAAACGCCGCCGCTTATCGCCCTTTATCTTGATATTCTATTTATTGCTTTTACTGAAAGGCTGCTTGCAACCTTCCCACCCGCCCCCGAATAATAACATCATCAGCCTCCAGAGCTTGACAAGGTGGGCAAGGTGGAGAGCGCCGTCAATATGCCGCTGTCCAGCTTGAGGCAGCAACTGGCGAAACTGCAGGATAAGGACAAAAAGTACTATGTGTACTGCCAGGTACGGCGAAATTCTTAAGGATATACACACAGATTCTCTTCAATTAGACGTGGCTTTGGAGAATCAATCCTCACCAGCTTCCAGAATCCTTTCCGTTGTATGGTCTTAAGATGAAAGATTGAAACAGCTTCCGCCATCGTGGGGTTCTGTATTTCCTTTCCAACTACCTATGCGCCGAAATCCCCCGACCCAATCAGCAACCGTTTCCCGATCGTTGTGCTCGTCGCCCCCGCCCGATAACCCTGGGGCCCTTCCCCAGGAATACATTTCAGGGCCTGCCGTCCACTATTTTTTCCATTTCCTCCCTCCCCTGTGGCAACCTTACCAATGTTTCCTAACCCGCCAACCCCCCTCCAGGTGGGCCTACGAGGCTACATCGCCACCCGACAGTTCCTGCAGGCCGGGTTCGATGCCGTCAACGTCAGCGGTGGATATAAAAGCTTCCAGCAGCAGCTGCAGGAGCAGCAGCGACCAGCCAAGCTGTGAAAAGGGCAGGAATGGGGTCCATTCGTTGTAGAAGAACATGGCGCAGGCATTGCGAAGATAATAACAAAGTTGGTGGTGTTGAAAAACACCGTGTATAATTAATGACTTTCAGTTTTAGGACGACGTGAACTTGGTGACGGCCTTGGTGCCCTCGGACACCGCATGCTTGGCCAGCTCGCCCGGAAGCACTAGGCGCACTGCCGTCTGAATTTCGCGCGAGGTCACAGTGGGCTTCTTGTTGTAGCGACTGAGCTTAGATGCCTCGGTGGCGACCTTCTCGAAGATGTCGTTGATGAAGCTGTTCATGATGCTCATCGCCTTGGAGCTGATGCCAGTATCAGGGTGAACTTGCTTCAACACCTTGTAAATATAAAGCTTGTAGGTCTCGCTCTTTGCGACCTTGGCCTTCTTCTTAGCTTTCTTATCGCCCTCGCCCTCACCACCGGCAGATGGCTCCTTCGCAGCCTTCTTCGCTGGCGCCTTCTTCTCCTTCTTGGCAGGTTTCGCTGCCTTGGCTTTGGCCTCAGCCTTAGCCTTAGCCGCAGCGCCAGCCTCGGCCTTCTCCTCGACCTTCTCCTCCTTCACATTCTTTGGGGCCATATCGTGCTTCTTGATGTAAGAAACGTTGATAAGTTCGGAATCAAACAAACCGGATAACGGTGTAAAGCATTAAAAGGACTTTGTAGTTCTTGGTGTGCAAGACCGTTGCCCCGGCGATCCGTCTATCGCTCGTGCAACGGTTATCGTACCTCTGCAGCAGCGAGCCACGTCCGTCATTCCTGTAAGAAATAACCAATTATGAAGCCTAGAAACTTTTTGAATATTTTAATAAAGTTCCCACCATCTTAACCCTACAACGGCAAGGTGCCCTGCCCGTCATTCCTGTAAGCCTAGGACTCTATGCTAGCTATGGCAAGAAAGCTGTTAATGAACACCACCTTATTTGCATGGCGTAGTACAGTGTGGTAATGGTGGATGGTGCTGTATGGTGTTCAATCCTAGATGTGGCAATCCAAATGTGTGCAAATAGCCCAGAAGCCTCCCACTCTGTAACAACAAAAACAACAACAACACATAGCACCGCAATGACATTTGAAACCATTTGTAACTACGCCCACTACGCCAAACGGTCGGACGTGTGCCGCCGGACGGTCAACCCAGCTCAAGGCACAAACAAACCTTTACCTACTACCGAACTGATGCAACACTCTCACGCAACGAACAACACAACACAACCTTTTTCTCCCTCATAGCCCTCCTTTGTTTAACCCCCCCTGATGCTGTATCAGCATGCCCTGCGCGCTGGTGCACTCGCTGGTACGAGCAGCACTCACGAATTGTACTGGTCTGGTACCTGCAGTGGCAAATCTAAGGACTGCACGGGTGATACGACGTGAACCAGATTCGCACTCCCCTGCATACCCCTACCAAGGCGAAGAAACCCTAGGAGCGTACAGGAAGCGCCACGAGAAGTACAGTTAGCCAAGGCGGACTAGGCAATGCAAGGCATGGAAGGATTCGGTCAGTAGCTACTGCGTCCTGTAAGTCCGCAACAGCGGCCAGCAAAGCTCCTCCCTAAGTGAGGAGTGGGAACTGGTATTATTAGGGGTTGCCCATCCAGCCACCGTGTCCGAAAGCAGCTGTCACTCGCGGACATTGACTTCAGCGGTCGGCCGCAAAGCAAAAAATCCCTTACCGGTAGCCCAAAAAGCATAGCAGATAGACGTAACGGTGTTTTGTACACAGGCTTACTCTGGCCCGGAGTCCGTGGTACTCGCTCCTGGTTTAGCCATAACCTTTGCGCTGCGGTCTTGGCATCAAACTGAATACCGTTTTGCTGCCTTTGCTTCAAAGATTTAGTTGTTGCTTCTGGGCGGTCTGCGGCGGGTTTGGCGGTAATACAAGAACGGTTGACCGCTGCTGACTCAAAACTGCTGTGCGGGATTTTTTCTGTAGTGACAGGGAGCGTTAGGCTGTGCCTTCCATTTTCTACCATTTCGTGCAAGTAATTGCATAAATGGCCAGTCTTTGGAGTGTTAGCTGGATGCACGGTAAAGCGCGCGCTCCGGCGATCGATACGAATCCGTAATAACTCAAAAATCATGCACAAAAACGTTTTGAGCTTCCTCGAAAGCGGATTTTAGCTTTATTGTAAACATCAGTTATTTTGATCGATTGCGCATTTGAGACGGCAATCAAACCTGCAAGGCAGCGTTAGTGTTGGATTCCCGGGAAGGCGCGAGTCGGTTCCCGCGAGTCGGTTTCCGCGATTCCCGCCCAGCAGAAACATGAAAAAGTTAGAGCATGTTCGTTTACTCCATCACTGTAAATATTTAACCCTAGGCTGAACGACCCATCCTCTTGAGGCCATGGAGGCAGCTAGCTCCGTATATGCGGCCGACCGGCGGGGCCCCGATCGGGGTGCGCCCGACCGCGGCGCCGCTTGCCGCCGCCTTCGTTCAGCTTCATGTTTTTCTTACTAAGCATTAGGGACAGAGGATGCTGCCGTGGGCCCTACTATTGGTTCTGTTATGAGTCCCTTTAATGATGAGGGGGCATCGGGATGTAACCCATTTACGTTTTTCTTGCACGGAGCGGACAGCTTTTGACGGCCGTTGACATTATTGCCACAGTCGTAGTTTGGCCTTAAGGTAAGGCCGAGCGTCGAATTCGGAAGGCCTACATACATATATCTACGACTGACACGGCGCACCATGACTCAATGCAAATTGAATTTGAGGTCGTCTAAGGAGAGTACAGGCAGCCTGATAGGTGGGCCGAGAGTGTCTCCGCCAAATGGCCGGGCACATGCAAGGGCGGCACGGCTTAAAATAGATCAAAAGGTTGAGGAATTGTTTTTTATATGTCAATATTTCTAGGGCGGCTCCTACTATGGGGCCAGCGCTCTCTAAGGACTGCTGCGGGCGCAAGTCGATCGCCATGAAAACGCAATTCTATTCATAGCCGGTTAATGATTCAAATTAACGATAAGAAGGGTTTTTCGTATTGCTAGCCCGATCTCTAAATATGAGTAGCCGTCGAAGTTAAGCTACCACAAGTTACAACTGCTACCAGTTCCACCCAACGGCGGGGCCCGTCCGTAAAAGCCGTGGGGGGCGGGCATGTAAAGTTAATAGCCATGATTGTAGCGGCGCGTGAGGACGTTGACGCCGTCTCCTCCCCCACTCGCTTGGGCATTCACAAACGATAGGCACCTCATCCTCCATCGCTCCGCAGTCACAATGGCTGCAGGTACATGCAGCACACTCACGGCCATCAGGCCTAGTAACTTTCAGTTCCCAACAACCTTATTATCTGAAACGCATGAGCACATCTGGTGCAATGGCCTTGGCAACACAGCCCCGGTGTGAGCGAGCCAAACCAACAGTCTTCCTTTACTACTAGAAGATGGAGATGGAGATGCTCCCATCAAGCTCAGATTTCCGGCATATGCCTCAAAAAGACCCCATCAGGTGGCTCCCCTGTGTGACCTCTCCCCCCTCGTGGGTCGACCTGGTCGACTGGGGAGTTAGCACACACGCGTCCACCTCGCATCGAGCCGCTTAGAGAACTACTCTTTTATAACATAACCAATCGGCAGTTTAATGGTAGCACATTGAGCGACCAGATCTTCGGCCTGTAGGCCCTTTCAGGGGCTAATGCGCCCGCACTGCCCAGGTGGAAGGCGAGGACCTTACCTGACCATGCATCGGTGATGCCCTCAAGAACCTTTCCAGCCCAAGATCTGAAACGAACATTCGGCGGCACATTATTGTCCCGCCGGGCCCCTTCACCAAGGAGTTCCAAAAAACTTAAGAACAAGGACGGCCCAATGGACTCACTGCAATTGCCTCACTAAGATAGATAGATATTGATATCACGGTAGTTAAAAAGATCGTTGATCCTGTTTGGGATTTCGCGCATCGACCACAGATCGCATGTATGCACGCTGCTCTTCGACCATAGGGTTAGTCATAGCGTTTTTATGTTCGCGTTGATGAAGTGGGGGGCCCACATACACTTGCTCGGAGTAAGGTAAGTCGAGGACGGCAAGTGCGTCACACAAAGCTTAGGCACAGTAACCTTTTTACTGCGGCACATTGCTGCGACGCCAAATGCGGATCGCTTTCCCACGGCTAACAGTTGCTTTGTGCAGGTAGTGAAATGCTGCCGCGGCCCGTATTGCAGCCCCGAGGTGGAAGGCGTGGTCTCATTCCCGGTCAACATGCACCGCGCGGTCCCACCCAAGAAATGGAAAAACACTGCCATCATGAGCCGCTTGCGCTCGCGCATTGTTCCCCAAAATATGAGATCTTCCCAATCGGCAGTATTTGCCGCCATGCTAGTAATCTCCTGACAGTAGTGATCTAGGAAACCGAGCAGGCAATGAGCTCGCTCTGCTACAACTCGTTCCGTTTCTTCGGCTTCATCGCACCCGATGCGAAAGCATGGTATGTTTAACGCTTTGGCAAGTTCCAAATGATTCAATTCTGAAAGATGTGCTAGCATGAAACCTTCGTCGAAGTCACTAGGCACTCGTACAACAGCTTCCCGCCAGGTACAAGTGTTGCAAGCTCCATTGTTATTGTCCTCTTAGATATATAATTTGCAAGCACACATACCAGCTTGCAAGTATTCGTTGACGGTTATGCTTTTAACGCAGATCTGAGCTCGTTCAGTGCGGGCGCAAACTAGCTGAGAGGTTTCTTAGGCATGGCGCCGGGATTCGCAATCCTTCAAGCATTAGTATTAGCGCTCAGCTGCCTCGGTGAATCAAATGGACAAGCGGCCAAGATTGACGGTAAGCGATGAAGCAGCTGAAAAGCGTGAAAATGACGAGGTCCTAGCCACAAAGTGAGAAGCTCAAATACATCAATCCACGAAATTATACACACTTCATGTTGTTTTAACTTCTCCTAACTTCACTTACACGCTTCATTCCCCACCTTGCGTCGCAGGTTCGAGGACATGGGCAGTCGTCGACGCCCGGCGGCAGGTACAAGCGCGCATTGGCTTCTAGGCTGGAAAATTTACCTTTTCATACAACGATCTAAATGACCCACAGGCAGAATCCCAAGAGATGCAACAAGCTGAAGCCATTTCCCAGCCAAGACGTTTGGCCGGGCCCTCGCGAGGGTTATCGGCTTCTGTTGCAGCCACTGGCACAGGCTCGGGAAGCTTCCAGGCAACCCGGCGGCAACAGCAGCAGATTTCAATACCGCTGATATTCTTTAGGCCACCGCCACCTCCACCGTTACCTTCATCAACAAACCCTGCCCCGCGCCCAGTTACAGCGGTGCCGCCTCCACAGCAAAGGCTTTCTCCACCGAGGACACCTTCATCGCCAATCCGTCCGCCGCCTGTTCAGCGATCACCGCCACCGTCGTCGCCGCCACCTCCACCGCCTCTTTCACCGCCACCGTCGCCGCCACCACCATCGCCGCCACCGCCACGGCCGCCGCCACCATCGCCGCCACCGCCACCATCGCCGCCACCGCCACCATCGCCGCCACCACCACCATCGCCGCCACCGCCACCATCGCCGCCACCGCCACCATCGCCGCCACCGCCACCATCGCCGCCACCGCCACGGTCGCCGTCGCCACCACCACTGCGGCCGCCCT